CATGATTGCGGTCCCTCCTCTCTCGCCCATGTGTGATGTGTGATGGATGTCGGGTCAGTCCACGTCAGATCAGATCTTTTCTCTCCAATATTCCGTTGTGCCATTTCATGCCATCTTGTATGTATTGGAATGTACATTGCTTGTTGATGCTGCGCTGATCTTGCATTGTCCATTTCAGTCCTTTTCGTCACATTGTGGATCCTCGGTATACTGCGCACTGCTCCTCTGAGCATGCGTCAATTTTGGTATCGGAGCTACTATATGTGAATCAGGACGAACCTGATCTGACGCGCGTCCGGGGACCACCCAATATCGATTGGGTAAAGTATTGATTGATCAATCAATCGATCCTAGGTTGATTGGTTGATTGATTGAGTATTGATCGATTGATTGAGTATTGATTGATTGATTGATTGATTGATTGATTGATTGATTGGTTGATTAGGGTATACTTATTAGTCCCCAACTGCGAAACTTGGAACCAACCGCCGATATCGAAGTTTTTTTTGTTGTTTTGGATTCGTTTTCCCGCCATTTCTTTCTTTCAACAATAGCGGAGCATCTGAAGGTTTGTTTCTCTTTTCTTGGAAACCGAAACTTCGTTACTAAAGATCCAAAATACTGCAATTTTTTTTTTTAATCCGATATTTCGAATTTTTTTTTTGCTGAAATTCGAAATTTCGCGGCAGAGAAGTCCGGAATTTTTTTTTGAAAAGTTTCGATTTTACCCCGTTATGAAAATTCCCGTTATTCCGAATTTTTTTTTGGAAATTCGAAAATCTTTTCTGAAATTCAGTTTTCACTTCTTGAAATTCGTTTTTCACTTTCGAAATTATTTCTGAAATTCGTTTTTCACTTCTGAAATTCGTTTTTCACTTTCGAAATTATTTATGAAATTCGTCTTTCATTTTCGAAATTATTTTCGAAATTGCTTTTCACGTTCTGAAATTCGATTTTCAAATTCGAAAACTATTTCCATTTCGAAAATTATTTCTGAAATTTTGATTTTCAATTTCAAAAATTATTTCCGAAATTCTTTTTTCAAATTTCGAAATTATCTTTGAAATTCGTTTTTCACTTTAAAATTATTTTTGAAATTCGAAATCATTTATGGAATTCCTTTTTTTTCACTTCCGAAATTATTTATGAAATTCAAAATTATTTATGAAATTCGTTTTGCAAGTTCCGAAATTATTTCTGAAATTCGTTTTTCAAGTTCCGAAATTATTTCTGAAATTCGTTTTTCAAACTCCAAAATTTTCTGGAATTCGATTTTTTTAATTCCGAAAATTTTTGAAATTCGTCTTTTTTTCAATTTCTAATTTTTTTTTATGTTTCGGAAATTCTTCTTGATATTTCGGACATTGCTTTCCGGGAAACTCCTCTTACAACGCCTGTTTTCAAACTGCGTACACTCTCACTTCACATATTCCGAATTTTTTCGGAAATTCCTGGGCTTGTGGAATCGTATTTTTTTTCCGCAAGTGCAACACTTCCGTTATCTCCATTTGACACGCTGATTCATTGGCAGCCTCAATTTCGATTTTTTTTGTTCGTTGAAATTGACTGCTGAGGGGATATTTCGGGGGTCCACCGAGCTTGCAAATTCAAATGTTTTTCCTTTTTTGAAATTACTGCAAGCTCCCAATTTTTTTTCTTGATTAGTGACTCCATATCTGGGTGACCCATCTTCATTGCCCACCCCCTTCCTCTCCACCCCAACCCTTCAACCCTTCTCCGTCCTTCCTTCCTGCCCATTCACCTGCAGTTGCAGGCCAGGTAAGTCCTCGCTTCAGCAGGCCACGTCAGGGACCCGCCGCACATGACCATACTTACTCGCTCGCAGACAGCAGCGATGGATCAGAAGGCAGGCGAGACTGACGAAGCCTACGAGGCACAGCTGGCGGCCATTCTGGCCGACACCAAGCAACGGGCAGAAGCAGCGGCAGCAGCACGGAAGAAGAAAGAAGCAGAGGCAGAGAGACTACGCCTTCTGGCGGAAGAACAGCGGCAGAAGCACGAGGCAGCAGCAGCCAGGGCAGCTGATGAGGAACCCGTACGGCGACGAGAGATCATATTTAGGGAGGAAAGTGCATTACACGCACAGGCCAAGGATTGGCAGAAGGAGGTCGAGAACGGCGATCCCGTTGACGTCGGGAGCATAGTATCTCAGCTGCTCAACCGTATCACGGACCTCCTCGCGACTTGCATCACGCAGCAGGAGGATATCTACTCTCTCGACCACACCAACAAGGCGTTACAGCAGTCGCTGGACTAGACGCTCAAGCGCGTTCAACAGCTGGAGCAGCGGGTCGCTAACGCCAATGCCAACGTCGGCCCCTCCGACCTCGTCGACCGCGTCAACGTCTTGGAGATCGACGTGGGGACACTCAACGCTGGGGCGCAACAGCACGTCTGTGCCGCAGCCAGCTCCAGCACGGCGCCACGCGAGACCATTGTCAAGTTTGTCGGGCTCCCGATCTTCTGTGACGCATCGAAGACGGACCCCATACAATGGTGGCGCCAGTTCGAACTCAAGCTGGACCTCCACCACGTCGCCAACGAGAATCGGCATGCATATTTGTACTCCCGCTCGGGAGGCGCATGTCAGGCATGGTTGGACAACATGTTGTCCGCCCATGCATGTACAGTCACCGAGTTCCACAAGTACATCACCTGGGCGGATCTCACAGTGGCATGGAAGAAGCGCTTCCAAGTAGAACCGCCCGAGCACAAGGCGATGGACAAGCTGCTGACATTTTTGCAGAACAACATGCCAAGCGGAGACTGGATTTCCAAGTTCCAACGCTTCGCAAGCACGCCCAAGCTGCTGCTGAACTTCGACGGCATCAAGCTCTATTTCATCAAGAGCTCGTGCCCGGCGCTGCAGAATGCGTTGACTCATGTCGCCGACACCCTCACTACAAGCGAGGAACTCTTCAACAAGGCCGCGCAGATCATTGTGACGAACTTGGCAGCCCGGAATACGAGCTCTTCGTCAAATGTCGGCCAGGGCGCGCACCAGCATCAGCCTAAAGTGGTCGTGGTCGCAGCGGCAACGACTAGCGACCCTTCTACTTCAAACGAGGCTGTTTCGTCTGACTAGGGAGACAGACTCGCAGCTGCCCAGAATGGTGGCCGCCCCGCCAAAGGACGAGGATGCGGCAAGCCGAAGACCAACACCAATACTTCTTCTGGGCCCGGGCAAGCAGCTCCAACTCAAGGACCTTGGACAGCGTACGGCCTGACGGAGCGCGGGTATCGCGTCCGCACCAAGTACTGTTATTGTTTGTGGTGCAATTGCGCGGCCCATGAGACCGCGAACTGCCCCACGAAAGCCAAGGGCCCCGCTCAGTCGGGAAAGTGAGCACCGCCGAGAGTGTTGCGACGGCACTCTCGACGCCTTCGGAACCGGTTGCCGATCGGGTAACCTCCCTCAGTTCCGGGGCATATGCGGACGTCGTCAGTCCTCCAATTCTTCCTTCTTTCGAGGACTATGCTGCCCGGCACGAACCTTCGCTGGATTCACGAGCCCAAGGACAGGATGTATGTGCGGTCTCTTCTCCGATCGGAAGCAACAACATTGATTCGTCTTCAAGTGGACCTTCACACGATTCGGCGCGCGCGTTCAACATTGAGGACTTGGACCCGTTGACGCCCGAGGATTTTGCATGGCTTCCTCTCCCTTCCACCGGCTGCTTACCGGAGCTGCAATGCGCAGCTCTTCGCGCTCATTTACATACATACCTAGCCTTCTATGCACCACGAACTTCGCCTACGGAGGACGAGGTCGCGGTGGGGGACATTCTTGCATATGTACGCAAGGTGGCCCGCGAGTTTCCCACGCAGCGGTATGACGACAACAACGCACCGCTCCTTTATGTCCGCATCCAAATCGGGCAAGCGCCCTGCAGCGCTTTGCTGGATAGCGGCGTGACTCGCAACTTCATTAGCCAGTCCTTCATGCAAAGGGCCGGCCTTGGACCACAAGTTCGAAGGAAGGCACACCCTACGTCGATCAAGTTGGCGGACGGTAGAACGCAACAACTCCTTGATCGCTACATCGAAGCCGTCCCGGTTTATTTCGCACCTCATGCATGCGAACCGGTGACGTTTGACGTCTTGGACACAGACTTCGACATCATTTTGGGCATGCCTTGGCTTGCAAGTGCGGATCACACGGTCAACTTCCACCGGCGGACACTTACGGTTCGAGACGCATTCGGCGCCGAAGTACCATGTACGATTCCTCCTCCGCACCCTTCAATCTGGTGCCAAGTTGTAACCGCCAAGTCTTTTCGGGCCACTTGTGCTTACGAGCGGACTGAGGAGATCGGCTTATGTTTTCTTCGAACCGTCGCGGTAGCCGACTCTCAACCTACGGACTTGTCTTCAGACCCCCGGGTGGTGCGGTTGCTCGACGAATTTGCCGACGTCTTCGAGTCACCTACCGGCGTGGTGCCGGATCGGCCAATCTATCACGAGATCATTCTCGAGGCCGGTGCTGTGCCGCCAAAAGGTTGCATTTACCGCATGAGCGAGGAGGAACTTACAATACTCCACGCGCAGCTCGACGACTTGTTGGACAAAGGCTGGATCCGGCCTAGTAGCTCACCCTATGGTGCGCCAGTTCTCTTCGTTCGGAAGAAGAACAAGGACCTTCGCCTATGCATCGATTACCGCAAGCTCAATGCGCAAACCGTCAAGAACGCGGGACCTCTTCCTCGTATTGACGACCTTCTGGAGCGCTTGGGCGGCGAAATTCTTTTCTAAGCTGGATTTGAAGTCAGGATATCATCAGATCTCGATTCGGCCGCAAGATCGCTACAAGACCGTGTTCAAGACACGGTACGGGCACTTCGAGTGGGTTGTTATGCCTTTCGGACTCACCAACGCCCGGCGACTTTTCAAGCGGCGATGACCAACGAGTTCTGAGCAATGTTGGACCGGTTCGTGCTGGTCTACTTGGACGACATCCTCGTCTATAGCCGGACCTTGGAGGAACATCTTGACCATCTTCGACGAGTGTTGGAGACACTTCGACGCGCCAAGTTCAAAGCCAACCGCGACAAGTGCGAGTTCGTGCGTCAAGAGTTGGAATACTTGGGCCACTTCGTCACTCCACAAGGCATCAGTCCGTTGTCGGACAAGATTCAARCCGTCCAAGATTGGYCGGAGCCRCGGAACGTCACGGATGTCCGATCATTCCTTGGCCTCGCCGGCTACCACCAACGCTTCATCAAAGGCTACTCGAAGATCGCGGCTCACTTAACCAAGCTTCAATGCGAGGACCGGCCGTTTGACTTCGGGACGGACGCGCGGGAATCATTCTTGGCCCTCAAGGCCGCATTGCTTTCCGCGGAGGTATTGCGGATATACGACCCGCTACTGCCAACGCGCGTCACCACGGACGCATCCGGCTATGGCATTGGTGCCGTCCTCGAGCAACATGACGGCGTGGATTGGCACCCGGTCGAATACTTCAGCAAGAAAGTGTCGGCCGTGCACTCCATTGACGATGCACGCAAGAAGGAACTTCTCGCCTTCGTCCATGCACTCAAGCGATGGCGGCACTTCCTCCTCGGTCGACGCCAGTTCCGATGGGTAACGGACAACAATCTGTTGGTGTTCTACAAGTCACAAGACACCGTCAACAGCACCATTGCCCGTTGGATGGCCTTCATCGACCAATTCAACTTCTTTCCTGACCACATTCCGGGGAAGTGGAACCGCTTTGCGGATGCCCTTTCGCGGCGTCCGGACCACTGCACCGCGGTCTACTCAACCTTCGAGATCAAGGACGACTTGCGGGACAACTTCATCCGCGGCTATCAAGCCGACCCCGAGTTTCGCGACAAGTACGCAAACTGTTCCTCTCCCAATCCGGCGCCTTCGCACTATCGGATACAAGAGGGATACTTGCTTCTTCACTCGAGGGGATCTTCTTTGTGTGCCGCAAGATTCACATTTGCGCACTCGGCTTCTTGGCGAGTTCCACGATGCCCCCGCCACTGGACACTTTGGAGTCAATCGCACGATTGGCCGACTACGCGAGCGCTTTTGGTGGCCCGGTCTCCTCGACGACGTCACGCGCTATTGCGAGTCATGCGAAGTTTGCCGACGTTGCAAACCTCGCAATCATCGTCCTTATGGCGAAATGCGACCATTGCCGGTCCCCTTGCGCCGAAGGGAAACGATTGCCGATTTTTGGTTGGCGCTCATCAAACGATGGGGCTCATCCCTCAAGCCAAGTTCGGCTCGCCACCCCCAAACCGATGGCCAAACGGAGAGGGCACATCAGACCGCACAGGTCCTCCTTCGAACTCTCATCCGTCCCGACCAGAAAGATTGGATTGAGCGGTTGCCGGATGTCGAGTTGGCATACAACTCGTCCATCCATCCGTCTATCGGGATATCGCCCTTTGAGTTCGAGCATGGCTCGCCGGTCAATTCTCCGTTGGACACAATCCTCCCACGGACGGCCGAGAGCGACGACCACCTCCTCTTCATTCGTCGGATGCAAGAGTTTCTTGTCAAGGCACGTGACCAGATGGCAAAGACGCAGCAACGTATGCGCCAACAGGCCAACCGCCAGCGTCTTCCTTGTCCATTCCGCGCCGGCGACCTCATATGGGTTTCCGCTGTGGAATTCAGCCTCGAACAAGATATCTCTCGCAAGCTCCTTCCGAAATGGATGGGGCCCTGGCCGATCGTGGCACCCGCTGGGGACGCACCCGAAGGACCTTCGTTCATCATTCAGGTGCCCGCCCACTTGCCCGTCAACCCGGTCTTTCACTGTTACAAGTTGGCCCTCTACACGCCAGCGGAACTTGACGACTTCCCCGGGCGACGATCGCAAGACCCACCCTCGATGAATGGTTTCCAAGAGGTTGGTGACATCATTTCCCAGCGACGTTACGGCAACAGGCCGACTGAATTTTTGGTCCACTTTGCATATTGCACCCATAGAGTTGACCGATGGCCGACTCGTGCGGAACTTCAGGCAACAGCGCCCGATGCTCTCGCACGCTATGAACAAAAGCTGAAAGGCAAGCCGGCATCTTCGGCTCCTACCCGCATCCAAGTACCTCCTTCAGATCGGCAGCTTCGCCCCCGACCGGCTTGACTTCATTAGGAGGGGGGGGTGTTACATGCTGAGCCTGACACACGGGCCCATTTTTGGGCCCGACGGTTGTTGAGGGCCCCTAGGCCGCGCGCCTGTTCCAAGCACGCGACCTGGAGGCCCACGGCCATTGGACAGGCCGTAGGTACAGATTTGAGGCAGCCGTCATTTATTTATTTATTTATTTATTCCTTTACTTATGTGTGTTGTTGTTTGTCTGTTCTATTTTTGTCTGTTTCAGGTGATGTTTCGGACTTGCGGTTCGTCCGAACAGATCTGTTCGGACCAAGGCCACGTTTTTGGCCTCCTCCATTCGTAGCCAGACCCTTTTAGGCCAGGTTCACGTTGTCTGGTAGCAGACACCCCCTGTTGTATCAGCAGGGAGGGCCTGGACGTCCGATAGGGACCCAGGCAGGCCATTTTTAGGCCAAACCCAGG